TATATATATATATATATATATATATGTGTGTGTGTGTGTGTGTGTGTGTGTGTGTGTGTGTGTATACAAATGTATATATATATAAAAAAACATTTCTTAATCGTTTGGGAAATTGTGTAAAGCATAAATGGAGTTTAATGCTTTAAAAAAAAATGTAAATGGGATACGAAACATAAACATATTTTTTATTTACTTTAGAAAATAAATGCTCCAGCTGATATTTAATACAACAGGCACTCTTGCTTGTGTGATATTCCTTAAATATGTGACTTGTTATCATCAGCAATTGCAGTCCATCTGTGCAATAGAATGTGAACGTTTCTGTACGCAACTGACCAAAATGAATGAATCAGCTTTTATGTAACTTGGTACAAGACCAGCCAGTCGCTCTACTTGAAAATGTCTCTAAGCACTTCCCACTGTCTGCACAATTACCTGGATTTACACCCCGCATCTTTTAAAGTGTTCCATGTCACCCACCTTCCTCTCCGTCTTTCTTTTCCCTCAGACTCATTTCACCCACTGTGCCTAAGGATTCCTGTTCACGTCAGCAGAGTCTGAACAGTAAGTTTGATCTCAAATGACCTGTCTCTGCCCGTCTGGGTCTGCAGGGCTGATCTGAGGCCAGCGCTGACACATGGAGGACTCAGAACAGTCCAATAAAATAAGAGTGAAGGACACTGCAGCCTTTTGATGTGCTTCTTTACCTGCTTTAACCTCCCCACCCATGTGGAGTGGCTTTTCGTCCACGCACACACAAATAAAATGCAGATAACGACAGAACAATGGCAAATGTATAAGGATCGTCTCAAGAGGAGATTAACAAAACAAGGCCAATAAAAGGGAAAAAAGAGGCATACAGTAGGCATACAGTATTTACTATAAGTGGGATGCAACAAAAATGTGAATTACAGACAGAAATTCTATAGAACACGTCTGCACTTGAATGAAAGCAAAAATAAATAAATAACACAATTCATTTGAAAAGCCTTTTATGCTCACCAAGGCTGCATTATTGCTGCAAAAGTACAGTAAAACCGGTAATATTGTGAAATGTTATTACAATTTAAAATATCTATTTTATATTTAAATTTATTTTAAAATGTAATTAATTCCAATGGTGGAAAAGCTGAATTTTTAGCAGCCATTACTCCAGTCTTCAGTGACACAACAAGATCAAGTAACATTTATTTATTATTATCATGTTGTGCTGCTTAATATTTTTGTGGAAACTGATTTCATTTTCTTTTATAACGTACACGTTTTTTTATGATTTATTTAATACATCATTGCTAATTAAATTAAATTAAATTAAATGAAATTAAATGAAATTAAATGAAATGAAATGAAATGAAATGAAATGAAATGAAATGAAATTAAATTAAATTAAATTAAATTAAATTAAAATTCTTCCTGACCCCAAAACTTTAAATGGCAGTGAATAAGTTCTTGCATGCACAAATATGAAATGGGAATTTCAGTGTGCTTTTTGTCTGTTTCTATTATATGCATAAAAATATGTCTTTCAGATTTTTATAACAGATCTGTTTTGGGTGAACTATACCTGCAAGTTCATTTTAAGGTGACATTTGTGAGATATATGTATTTCACCATGACATATTTTTCTAGTCAGTCTAATTCCCTTTACAATTCACACTATTTTAATGTCACATAAATGTTTGTGTTTTCATAATTGTTATTGCCACACTGTGATTTGCAATATTGTTTCAAAAACATGCAGATACATGTGACTAAACGTCTCCTATGAATTCCCGTAATATCAAGAACAACAACAAAATAAATGTCAAATGATGATTCTGACAAAAAGAAGAGGAGGAGGTTTAAGTGTGTGTGTGTGTGTGTGTGTGAGTGAGAGAGAGAGAGAGAGAGAATCTGGAAAAAATAATGAGTGGGAGAGGCAGAGAGAGAAATGACAGATGAGCATTATGTGAATGTCTGACAAAAAGGTCTCAGAAACGTCCATCAGTTCTGAAGTCATTGTCGCCACTGTGTGGGAATCTTGGCTGAGACGATGAGAGAGAGCAGGCAGTAAGTGAGGGGAATGGTAAAAGGAGTAAAAGGATGAAAGGATGGGGAACTGTGAAAGAAGGAACACCTGCTTTGAAGTGACAGAGATCAGAGGGCAACCTCCACCCAGGCTGTCTCTCTGGCCAAGAAGCTCGCTCTGCTGGCTACGCCCACATCAAAGGCTGCTTCACAGCCACCGCGGGGAGGATCTCCCCCAGCCACCGAGCTCACAAGTCTCACTCTTCCTGCATGCCAACTGTGCCACTATAGCCATTATACCAGCATCATGCTCTGAGTGGAAATGACATGAGAGGGGAGCTAGAGAGCCTCCAAAACAACTCGCAGGCTTATGAGACGATGAGGAATCTCCTCGACATAAGCACATAAACTGGCAAACCAGAGCAATAGCTGAAGACAAGGGTGCAACAGGGCCAAAGCTCCCGGGGTAAAAGGGCCCGTCTGTTGCTATGTACTGCAAAACTGTCCTAATTCACAAGGTCATTGCGTGCAATGAGTAAAGACTGAATCTGAAGTAATTTGAGTGAAAATGTAATACATTATAAATGTTGTGTATGTACTTAAATAATCTTTAAATATATTTTGAAATAAATATGAGATATAGTTCAACCAAAAATTTAAAACTGCTGAAAATTCACTCACTCTCAGGCCATCCAAGATGTAGATGAGTTTGTTTCTTCATTTGAACATATTTGGAGAAATTTAGCATTATATCACTTGTTCACCAATGGATCCTCTGCAGTGAATGGGTGCCGTCAGAATGAGAGTCCAAACAGCTGATAAAAAAATCACAATAATCCACAAGTAATCCCCATGACTCCACTCCATCAATTAATGTCATCAAAAATCTGCATATTTAAAAGAAAACAAACCTATCATTAAGGCATTTTAACTTTAAACTGTTGCCTCTGGCCAAAATACGAGTCCATAATCCATAATAACAGTTCCACCAGTGAAAAAGTCCATCACCTGTTGTCCTCTCACGTCAAAATCCACCACCTTATTTGTTTAGAACTGTTTTGGACTGTCTTCCCTCGTAAACAGTGCTTGATCTGTGCATATTTCTCTCCTGATTAAGACGAGATGTCTTTTTCACTTGAGAAAGCAATATTATGGATAGAGGACTTGGAATTTAGCTGGAAGCAAAGCTTTGAAGTTAAAAACATCTTGATGAACATGCAGTTTCACACTTCATGGATGTTCAACAAATGTTAATTGATGGACTGGAGTCGTGTCGATTACAGTGATGTTTTTATCAGCTGTTTGGACTCATTCTGATGGCACCCATTCACTGCAGAGGATGTAATGTAATGCTAATTTTCTTCAAATCTGTTCCGATGATAAAAAAAACTTTAATCTCTCTTATATTCAAACTACAAAATACCCCACCATTACCGCTGTTAGATTGCCAAAGAGAGATGCAGAATAACTGCATTTG